CTGTCAATGGACACTTAAATTGTTTCCCACTCTTGGATATTATATATAAAACTGCAGTGAACATGGGGGTGCATATATCACTTCAAAGCAAAGTTTTTATACTTTCTGATTAAATACCCAGAAATGAGTAGGCAGGATCATATGGAATTTCTATTTTTATCTTTTTTAAGGATAAGATTGCTATGAACATTCATTCGCAAGTTTTTAATTCTTTTGGGTACAGAGGTAGGAGAAGAATTGCTAAGTGTCATGATAACTTTACATTTAGCTTTTAGAACAACTGCCAGACTATTTTCCACAGTTTCTATACCATTTCACATGACCACCAGCAAAGTATGAAGGCTCCAATTTCTCCATATCATAATACTCATTATAATGGGTGTTGAGATGGTATCACTGTGGTTTTCAGTTTTTGTTTTTTTGAGGAACTTACATGCCGCCCCCACCATACATCATAAATTCTAGTCCCTTCCCCTCCCCCACTTTTAGCCCCAAAGCCCTCAGAATATTTACTGATATCCACGGTTTTTGAAGTGTTTTACATTATTGAATTGTTGGCTATGTAAATGTTCAGTATTTTTTATCATTCTAACTTACTTTGATATGCAATTCTCTCAAACTCCCTCTGTTTTGTTGGAAATGGTTGTATTTCATCCTTTCTTATGGCTATATAATATTCCATTTTGTGGATATACCAATCTTCTTGATTATTTTTAATTTTTTGAAGAATCTCCACACTACTTTCCATAATAGCTATACCAGGGCCTCCCTGGTGGCACAAGGGGTTAAGCATCAGCACTATGAAGCAATCTGCAGCTACTGCAGCACAAGTTCAATCCCCAGCCAAGGAGGTAACCAACATAGCGCAGCAGACCTCTCCTGTCTCACCCACTGCTCCCCTCAGCAGTATATTTCAGTCAATTTGCCTGTTCTTCTCCCCACACTGCCTCTGGTGAATCCTCTCAGTCCCCTTCCCCCCACTTCTTGTTTGTTGTCTCTAGGATTACTTTCACTAATCAAATTGTACTTTATATGTTACCAAGCTTATAATACAGAATTGGGGAGATAATCAGTTGTCTTTATTTCTACCTATGACTGCTGATAGATCAAAGCAAATATTAACAATAACCACATGCCTATTAATTTGGTGAGTGTTGGCAAGAGAGACAAACAGACAGTGAACCACCACATTACTTCCAAAATTCCCTCATGCTACCCCTTCATAACCAACACTTCCCTAAATGCCCCCCCAAAAAAACCCTTGCACACGCTGGTCAGCTTTCCTCATGTTTCCTTGTCAGACTGTCATATAAATGGAATCATACACTATGTAGTTTTTTGAGTCTGACTTGTTTTGCTTAGCTAAATGGATTTTAAGATTCACCTATGCAATGGCAGGAATAAAAAGACAGTTACCCTTTTTGTTGTGTGCACACACATACATGAATAGTTGAAATAACTGGGTTGTTTTCAGTTTGGGGTAATTGATGTTTCTATAAACATTCACATACAGGTTTTTATGTGAATATAACTTTTCATCTCTCTTAGATACCTAGAAGTAGGATTGCTATGTCGTATATATATGTTTAATTTCATAAGAAACCAGCAAATTCTTCCAAAGTGCCTGTACCATTTTTTTTATTCCCGCCAGCAATATGTGGAAATTCCAACTGCTATGCCTTGCTAACACTTGGTATTGCCAGGTTTTTTTGTTTGTTTTGACATTCTAATTGCCCGTAATGGTATATAATTATAATTTTTTACTTTATTTTTAAAGCATTTTTAGATTCACAGCAAAACTGAGTTAGTACAGAAAATTTCCTATACAACCCTTGTCCCTCCAACATGCACATCTCCCCTCCAACATCTGAATCAGACTGTTACGTTTGTTACAATCATTACTGTGGTTTTAATTTGCATTTGCCTGATTTGCATTTCCTTTATTTGCTATTTGTATATTTTCTAGGTGAAATATCAATCCAAATCTCTTTTGTCCATTTTATTACTGGGTTATTTCCTCATTGCTGAATTTTGAGTTTTCAAAATTTTGTAGATACAACTTTTTGTCAGAAGTATGATTTTCAAGTATTTCTCCCAATCTGTGACTTGTCCTTACATTTTCCTTCAGCAAAAAATGCTTTAAATTTTAACCCTTTGCACTCCGCTGTCTCCTCTCAGGGGACATCAGAATTCTAGCATATCACTCGGATGTCCCCTCTCAGGGGACAGTGCAATTTATTAGTGATTACGGGGAATTGAGTTATTTCAACACAACTTTTTGAGACATGCATGTTTCCCTGAAGTATTATCTTGAAATGGCACAAGAAATTAAATCAAAATATCGTAAAATTATGAAGATATATACAAGAAATGTCAGCGGGTTTTGTGTCGGACGAGAACATGAGATGCGTGCTTACGACGGTCCGAGCACTTCGAGACACCACTTTAAAAGAGAGATAAGGGGAGTTTGTAGAAGAAAGGTCAGTTTTTGAACATAGCGCGCACTGTATAGTGAGATATATAATTACAAATAAACAAGTCTACATCTGGAGGAAAAGATTTTCAAAGCTGAGCTCATTTTGGTTTGAAGCTTCGAGCAGTGCACATATATCTAACGAGGAGAAAATCGGAAAAGTGATTCTTTTCTTAGTGAATAAATTGTTTGGTGAAAGCTATTTTGGTAAATATCATCTTGTCAGTTAGTAATAACAATTAGAAATTTTCAACCCATGCATCTATTCATATTTTTTATTAGAACAATGGCAAAGCGTCCAACCATGAATGAGTCTCATGACACAAGTAGTAGTGAAGATGAGCTCCAGATAGACCTCTATACAGACATGTCAAACATGCACTAATCAGCCTGCAATGCATATTGGGGAGTGTTACAAAACTTATCATACTGTACAAAATTATAAACAATAAAATATTGGTTTTTTTGCAAATATACATTCCTCAATGTCACCCAATTCATATAAGTCCAATATCATTATAATACATTACTTGGTTCCAAAATTATACTGAATAATACGAGGGTCTGTAAATGCACGTTTCCGCCACAAAGTAGCATCGAGTACCTGGTAGCCAATGTCCAGAATGGTTCGGAGTGCAAAGGGTTAATAAAGTAGGGCCTTCCTGGTGGTGCAAGGGGTTGTGTCAGCACTATGAAGCTATCACAGCCACTGCAGCATGAGTTTGAACCCAGGCCAGGGAGCTAACCCACATGGCACAGCAGACCTCTCCTGTCTCACCCACTGCTCCCCTCAGCAGTGGATTTCAGTAGATCCACCTGTTATGTTCCCCATTCTCTCTCTGGTGAATTCTCTCACCCCCCCCCATGCTGGCCTACAACCGAGGTCTTCTATGCATAAATAAATAAATCTTTAAAAAAATTTAATAAAGTCCAATGTGACTATTTACAGATTGCATTTTTATGACAATATAATTTCTTAATCACATTTCACTGTTCATGTCTTTCTTTGCATAGGGTAGCATTTCTCCTAGCTAGCAGTCTTGGCCAAAAAACTGAGAACAAATAAGCAAAAACTGCCACCAATATTGTTTAATGGGTAGAGAGTTTCAGTTTGGGAAGATGAAAAGAATTCTGGAGACAGTGATGATGGTTACATAACAATGTGAATGTTCTTTATGCCACTAAAGCACACTTAAAATGGTTTAAATGGTAATTTTTACTATAATAAAAAGAAACTATAATTTTATATAGTAGATATTTAATTTTACCATAAAATTTAGCATATAATTTTGCCATAGTGTAATTTTACCATATTATAAAGAAAAACCTGCCTTTGAGCATCAACATGTCAGGGATGTCTATGTTCTAAAGATCAAGCACAGTACTTGCTAGAACACTTCAGGCAATGGTGAAATCAAGATAATGGAGCAAAGAGAGGTTTCATTTCAAAGATGAGAAGTAGCTGGCCAGAAGTAGCTGGCCATGCCTAGCACTTTGTGAAAAGGATCTCTCAATTAGTCCTCATATACATCTTATAAGGAACAAACTATATTATGTTTCTTTCACAATTAAGAGAACTGAGGTATGGAGGACAAAGTTTTTCCTATTCAAGATCATGCTTGAGTCACTAAATCAAGGAGTAAAGGTGTGAAGAAGCCACTAGACAATCTGATCCCAGACCTCTCACCATGGACCATGCAGCTGTTGTGTCTCCAAAAATATATAAAGAAAAACTCTCTTTTCAGTCACCTTTTGTTTTGAGAAATTTAAGTTTTGGGAAATCATAAATGATTTAACAAAAATTCCTGAGAACTGTTAAATGTAGTCTCACTAGATTGGGTTCCCATTGTGCATATTAAGCTGTATGCTTATCAATTAGTTTTCAATTGAGTGGGCAACAGCTCAATATCTCAACTGAAATGGCCTGATGTCAAAACCTGGCTCTGGCTTTGCACTAAGGTATCTAAAGCATTTTAGTTCATCCAAATAAAATTTCTAATTTGAAGAGATAAAATCATATTGCACTAGAAGGTTGTTTACTCAAAATGTTTTGCTTATCCTATCTTGTAGCCTCTAAAATATAGGTTAGCTTCACTAATATTGTGAAGACTTAGTAATGCTTAGAATATTTTGAATGTCTATAAAAGTTAGCTATTATTGTTTATAGAAAAAAAAAGGTTCCGGGCCTCCCCAGTGGCGCAGGGGTTGAGCACTGGGTTGCGAAGCTGCCCACAGCCTCTGCAGCACCGGTTCGATCCCCGGTCGCCGGGCAAGGGTCCCACATGGCGTGCAGACCTCTCCTGCTGCCCACTGCTCCCCCTCAGCAGTGTACTTCGTCAGTCTGCCTGCTCTGCTCTCCCCTCTGGCTCTGGTGAATTCTCTTGCCCTCCCACACTTTTGACTGCACCCAGTGCTTGTATAAATAAATAAATAAATCTTTAAAAAAAAAAGGAAAAAGATTCCTTGGAAAAATCACTTTATATAAAATGTTAGGTATATAAGAGCAATGGCTTTGAAATCAGTCTACCTTGGTTTGAATCATGGCTTTGTCACTTGCTGAATTTAAAGCCCTGGATCTATCACTTGATCTCTTTAAGCTTCAGTTTTCCATGTCTGAAAAGCAAGAGTAAATATGACATTACTATGAAGATAAAACAAGACAATCTATGCAAAATTGCTTAGTACAGTCTTAATACACAGAAATCTGTCAGTAAACACTAGCTACTGCCATTTTTTATCAACAATGTTAAATGTGTAGATAATATTAGGAATCAAATCATAGAAAGGACATTTTACAAATCTGCAGAGGCAGCAATACTCTAATCAATTCTTAGAAAACTATAGCTTATAATCCCATAGCCAGTATCATTCTCAGTGGTTAAAAGCTGAAAGCATTTCCATTAAGATCTGGAACAAGACAAGGATGTCCACTCTCACCACTGCATTTCAATATAATACTGGAAGTCCTAGCCAGAGCAATAAGACAACAGAAAGACATACAAGGAATCCAAATAGGGAAGGAAGACGTTACCATTATCACTATTCACAGATGATATGATAATATACATAGAGAACCTCAAAAACTCCACAGAAAAACTAATTCAACTAATCAATCAGTTTAGTAAAGTGGCAGGATACAAAATCAACACGCAAAAATAAGTAGCCTTCCTATACACAAACAATAAATCTGAAGAAGAAATAAAAAAATCCCTTTTATTATTGAAACAAAAAAAAAAACAAATACTTGGGAATAAACCTAACCAAAGAGGTAAAGGACCTATACAAAGAAAATTATAAAACACTGTTAAAAGAAATAGAAGAAGACACAAAGAAATGGAAAGACATCCCTTGCTCATGTATTGGAAGAATTAACATTATCAAAATGGCCATCCTACCAAAAGCAATTTACAGATTCAATGCTATTCCAATGAAAATTTCAATGACATTTTTCAAAGAAATAGAACAATTACTGATGAAATTCATATGGAATCACCAAAAACCCCAAATAGCTAAAGCTCTCCTGAAAAAAAAAGGGGGAATGGAAGCATCACACTTCCAGATTTCAAAGTATACTACAAAGCCATAATCATCAAAACTGCATGGTACTGGAAAAAGAAAAGACACACCAACCAATGGAACTGAATAGAAAATCCAGAAATAAACCCACAGATTTACAATCAACTAATCTTTGACAAAGGAGCAAAGAAAGTTTGTTCAATAATGGTGCTGGGAAAACTGGGTCGCTACATGCAAAAGAATGAAGCTTGACTAGTACCTCACACCATGCACAAAAACCAACTCAAAATGGATTAAGGAACTAGACATAAGACCTGAAACCATAAAATATATAGAAGGTAATATAGGCGAAACAATGTATGACATGCACCTCAAAGACATCTTTACAGACACATTACCCAAAGCAGTGATAGTGAAGGCAAAGATAAACAGCTGCGAGTACATCAAATTAAAGAGCTTCTGCACAGCTGTAGAATTTAGATCATACCCCATAGTGACCAGCAACCTTTTCCACGTAGGGTAGAAGGTAGAGTCTGAACAGAGGCTTTGACTCTACAGAGGGATCTTTTTCTAGTCTGCCTCCCTCATTCCCAATTCTATCTTCTTTTTTTCCAAAGATTTTATTTATTTATGCATACAACCCGGGGGGCCTCACTGGTGGCACAAGGGGTTAAGTCTCAGCACTATGAAGCTATCAGCAGCCACTGCAGCATGAGTTCAATCCCCAGCCAGGGAGCTAACCACAGGACACAGCATATCTCTCCTGTCTCAGCACTGCTCCCCTCAACAGTATGTTTCAGTCAATCCACCTGTTTCACTCCCCATACTGTCAGTGGTGAATCCTTTCACCTCCTCCCCCCAACCCCACACCTCTGCCTACACCTCAGCTCTTATATGCATAAATAAATAAAATCTTTCAAGGAAAAAAAAAAAGAAACAACCCATGGCCTCCCTGGTGGCCTAGGAGTTAAGTCTCAGCACTATCACAGCTAAGGCCTGAGTTCAATCCATGAACAAGGAGCAAACCCAGGAGGTGCAGTAGACCTCTCCTGTCTCACCCACTGCTCCCCTTAAGAGTATAATTTCAGTAAATGCACCTGTTCTACTCTCCACTCTGTCTGGTGAATCGTCTCACTCCCTGCATTTCTGGCCTACACCCCAGTACTTCTATGCATAAAAAATAAACCACCCCAAAAAAAGAAAATTCTGACCCCCATCCTGTGTTAACAGCAAGAGATAAATTACCTTTGTGAAAAAAATACCCACAGTAATAGAAGGATAGAAAGCAACCAAAGATGGCATTTAGGGTTGAAAGCAAACTTTCTTTTTTTTTTTTTTTTTTTCTGGGCTGTGATCATGTTCTTTATTTTTTTTTTTTTTCAAATATTAAATTTTATTTTTATATTCCCCCATACAACTGCAAACGCCCCATTCTGACCCCAATCCTTCCCCTCCCGCCCCCCACCCCCCAAAAAGTGTCTCTGGTTCATAGTTTTTGTTGATTTTGATTTTCACTTTCTTATATTCATTTTCCTGGTCCCTTATTTAAGTTTTCTAGATTCCTGCTATGAGTGAGACCATCCGGTATTTTTCTTTTTCTTTTTGGCTTATTTCGCTGAGCATGATCCCTTCCAGTGCCATCCATGTTGCTGCAAATTGCATGTGTTTATCTTTTTTGAATGCTGAGTAATATTCCATGGTATATATGTACCACATCTTCTTGATCCAGTCATCTATTTTTGGGCATTTGGGTTGTTTCCAAAGCTTAGCTATTGTAAACAGTGCTGCTATAAACATAGGAGTGCAGGTGCTCTTTGGAATTGATGTTTCTGTGTCCTTTGGGTAAATACCTAGGAGTGGAATTGCTGGATCATATGGAAGCTCTATGTTTAGTAGGTCCAGAAATCTCCACACAGCTCTCCATAGTGGTTGGACCAGTTTGCACTCCCACCAACAGTGCACAAGAGTTCCTTTTTCTCCACATCCTCGCCAACATTTGTTGTTGCTAGTTTTTTTAATATGTGCCATTCTCACTGGTGTGAGATGGTATCTCATGGTAGTTTTGATTTGCATTTCCCTGATTACAAGTGATGTTGAACATTTTTTCATATGTCTGTTGGCCATTTGCATTTCCTCTTCAGAGAAGTTTCTTTTTAGCTCTTCTGCCCATTTTTGACTGGATTATTTTCTTTGTTGTTGCTGAGTCTCATCAGCTCTTTGCAGATTTTTGTGATCAGTCCTTTATCATTAGTGTTGGGTGCAAAAATGTTCTCCCAGTTGGTGGGGTTTCTCTTTGTTTTTGTTATTGTCTCTTTTGCTGTGCAGAAGCTCTTTAATTTGATGTAGTCCCAGCTGTTTATCTTTCTCTTCACTATCACTGCTTTGGTGATTGTCTGTAAAGATGTCTTTGATGTGCAAATCCCGTAGTGTTTCGCCTATATTTCCTTCTATGTATTTTATGGTTTCAGGTCTTATGTCTAGTTCTTTAATCCATTTTGAGTTGATTTTTGTGTATGGTGTGAGGTAGTGGTCAAGCTTCATTCTTTTGCATGTAGCGACCCAGTTTTCCCAGCACCATCTATTGAACAAACTTTCTTTGCTCCAATGCATAGTCTTTGCTCCTTGTCAAAGATTAGTTGACCATAAATCTGTGGGTTTATTTCTGGATTTTCTATTCAATTCCATTGGTCTGTATGTCTGTTCTTGGTCCAATACCATGCAGTTTTGATGATTATGGCTTTGTAGTATAGTTTGAAGTCTGGGAGTGTGATGCCTCCATTTCCTTCTTTTTTTTTCAGTAGAGCTTTGGCTATTCGGGGTTTTTGGTGATTCCATATGAATTTCATCAATAATTGTTCTATTTCTTTGAAGAATGCCATTGAGATTTTGATTGAATAGCATTGAATCTGTATATTGCTTTTGGTAGGATGCCATTTTAATAATGTTTATTCTTCCAATCCATGAGCAGGGGATGTCTTTCCTTTCTTTGTGTCTTCTTCTATTTCTTTTAACAGTGTTTTATAGTTTTCTTTGTATAGTCCTTACCTCTTTTGTTAGATTTATTCCAAATATTTGATTTTTTTGTTTCGATAATAAAAGGGGTGGTTTTTTTGATTTCTTCTTCTTCAGATTTATTGTTTGTGTATAGGAAGGCTACTGACTTTTGCGTGTTGATTTGTATCCTGCCACTTTACTGAATTGATTGATGAGTTGCATTAGTTTTTTCTGTGGAGATTTTGGGGTTCTCTATGTATATTATCATATCATCTGCAAATAGTGATAGTTTGACTTCTTCTTTTCCTATTTGGATTCCTTGGATGTCTTTCTCTTGTCTTATTGCTCTGGCTAGGACTTCCAGTATTATATTGAAAAGCAGTGGTGAGAGTGGACATCCTTGTCTTGTTCCAGATCTTAATGGAATTGCTTTCAGCTTTTCACCATTGAGAATGATACTGGCTGTTGGCTTGTCATAGATGGCCTTTATGATGTTGAGGTATGTTCCTTGTATCCCAAGAATTTCAAGGGCTTTATCATGAATGGGTGTTGCACTTGTGCGAAAGCTTTCTCAGCATCTATTGATATTATATATGGTTTTTATATTTCTTTTTGTTGATGTGTTGGATAACGTTGATTGATTTTCGGATGTTAAACCATCCTTGTGCCCCTGGAATGAATCCAACTTGGTCGTGGTGAATTATCTTATGGATACATTGTTGGATTCTGATAGCTAAAATTTTATTGAGGATTTTTGCATCAGTGTTCATTAGAGAGATTGGCCTATAGTTTTCCTTTTTTGTGTTGTCCTTATTCGGTTTGGTATTAGTGTAATATTGGCTTCATAGAACGTGTTTGGTATTGTCCCTTCCTTCTCAATTTTTTGGAAGAGTTTGTGAAGGATAGGCACTAATTCGTCTCTGAATGTTTGGTAGAATTCATTTGTAAATCCATCAGGTCCTGGGCTTTTGTGAAAGCAAACTTTCTTACTTCTTTTCTAATCTACGAGCCCAAACCTTTTTCTTGGCAATTCTTTGTCTAAAAGATATAAAAGCTGGATGCTTTGGTCCTTTCTCTGGGTCCTGTATCTCTGGGCCCCTCCC